GTCTCTTTGTAGGTCATTAAGGACTTGCTTTATGTGTCTGAGTGCTCCTGTACTGGGTGCATATGTATTTAGGACAGTTAGTTCTTCTTATTGCATTGACCCTTTTACCATTATGCAATGCCCTTGTCTCTTTTGATCTTTGCTGGTTTAAAGTTCATTTTATCAGAGACTATGATTGCCACCCCTGCCTGTTTTTGCTCCCCATTTGCTCGGTAAATCTTCCTCCATCCCTTTATTTTGAGTCTATGCATGTCTTTTCAGGTGATATGGATCTCTTGAATACAGCACACTGATGGTTCTTGGCTTTTTATCCAATTTGCCAGTCTGTGTCTTTTGTCCATTTACATTAAATGTTAATATTGTTATGTGTGAATTTGATCCTGCCATTTTATTACTGGTTGTTTTGCCCTTTGGTTGGTGTAATTTTTTTCATTGAGACATTGGTCTTTACCATTTGGTTCTTTTTTGCAGTGGCTAATAGTGGTTTTTCCTTTCTGTGTTTAGTGCTTCCCTCAGGAGCTGTTGTAGGGCAGGTCTGGTAGTGACAAAATCTCTCAGCAATTGCTTGTCCACAAAGGATTTTATTTCTCTACCACTTATGAAGCTTAGTTTCACTGGATGTAAAATTCTGGGTTGAAAGTTCTTTTCTTTTAGGATGTTGAATATTGCCCCACTCTCTTCTGGCTTGTAGGGTCTCTGCCGAGAGATCCTCTGTGAGTCTGATGGGCTTGCCTTTGTGAGTGACCTGACCTTTCTCTCTGGCTGCCCTTAGTATTTTTTCCTTTGTTTCAACCCCGGTGTATCTGACAATGATGTGCCTTGGGGTTGCTCTTCTAGAGAAGTATCATTGTGGTGTTCTCTGTATTTCCTGTATCTGAATGTTGGCCTGCCTTGCAAGATTGGAGAAGTTCTCCTGGATAATATCCTGAAGAGTGTTTTCCACTCGGATTCATTCTCCTTATCATCTTCTGGTACACTGATCAAGCATAGATTAGGTCTTTTCACATAATCCCATATTTCTTAGAGGCTTTGTTCATTTCTTTTCACTCCTTGTTCTCTTGTTGCCTTCTTGTTTTGTTTCATTGAGTTGATCTTCAATCTCTGATATCCTTTCTTCTGGTTGATCTATTTGGCTATTAAAACTTGTATATGTGTCATGAAGTTCTTGTGCTATGTTTTTCAGCTCCATCAAGTCATTTATGTTCTTCTCTAAGCTGGTTATTCTAATTAGCATTTCATCTACCCTTTTCTCAAGGTTTTTAGTTTCTTTGCATTTGGTTAGAACATGTTCCTTTAACTCAGAGAAGTTTGTTATTACCCACCTTCTGAAGCCTGCTTCTGACAATTCGTCAAATTCATTCTCTGTCCAGCTTTGTTCCCTTGCTGGTGAAGAGTTGTGACCTCGTGGTTGTGGGGAGAGGCATTCTGGTTTTTGACGGTTTCATTATTCTTGCGCTGGTTTTTTCCCATCTCATTAAATTTATGTAGTTTTTATCTCAGGTAGCTGCTTGGGGTGGTGGCCTTTCCTTTGCATGCCTGCAGAGGCGCTGCTGGGATGCCAAGGGTTCTGTGGAGCTACTGCATCTTTTATTTACTCAGGAAAGTTAGGCCAGCTTCTGCAATGGTGGTTGCCTGTCCCCCTGCCTAGCTGGATTGTTCCTGGTTGCTCTCTATGTGCGAAACTCTGGTGTGAGAGTTTTGTTTCAGTCAGCTGGGCTTTGTCGAGGTGGGGGGACCTGTCCTGCCATGTGGGCTGTTTCCCTCTTTTCAGTTCCCCTTCCCTGTGAGGGGAGGGTAGATCCATCCACTTGACTTTCTGGCTTTCGTGTCAGCCAGTGCTTCCACCTAGATCTATGCTGACAGCCCTGGTGCCAGCCAAAGTTGCTGTTCTGCCCTGTTCAGGTGGCTTGCTGAGACTTTTCAGTCCAGCGAAGATCTCCTGTTCTGTGGGTTGTAGAGGGCTTGGGTGGAGAGCTGTATCCGAACCAAAGTCCCAGAGGGGGAGATCCCCTAGTCCTACGGTCAGTTGCACATCCTGGGTGGGGCCGTGCCCTACCTTGCCTCAACTTGCCCTATTTGGTTTATACCCACTGTCCAACCAGACCCACAAAATGAACCTAGTACCTCGTTTGGAATTGTGGAGACCACTCGGTTTCTGCATCTCTCTGGCTGAGAGCTGCTTTCTGGAGCTGCCTTTTATTTGGCCATCTTGGGATCCACTAGGGAATGATTTCTTAAACAAAACATACATTTTGTATATAAACCATAGTGGGAGCTCCTATATCAGAAACTCTGAGCATCTAAACATACCAAAGCAAATTGTAAGCACTCAAGCTCGAAGTTATTTAAAACACATATTACCCACAAACTTTCATTAGTTAGAATACCTGAAAAACTTCTTAAAACTAGTAAAACTTTAATAAGTAAAATTAATCAATGAAAGCATTTTGGGCAACAATATGTGATGAAACTGAAAACATGTATGTATCCTATGATATAGCATTTCTATTTGCTAGAGAAATGGTAATTTAAAATTTCCAGGGATAGAAAAAAATGGAAATAATATTCATCAATAGTAGATATTTTGGTATGTTAATTCAACAGATAAAATGGAACTAAACAAGGTACAACCATTGATAAAATTTCACAAACATAATGTTTTTACAAAAGAAAAGATGTACATAGGTTATACATTTCTATATACATGAGGTTAAATATGCAAACATTATACATATTATTAATACATGCATATTTAGTGATAATATAGAATATAGAAAAAAATATAAATCCTTATAGTGCTTACTCTAGAAAATGAGAGAAGGATGCAGACAGTAAGAGGATACCAAACGGAATTATATTTTTAATGTTTCATTCTACTTAATACCTAAAACAAGTAAAACAAAATCTTATCACCAAAGCTGCTTAGCATGTACACAAGTGCTCATTACATTTATCTCTGAATTTATGTTTGAAAAATTATAAAATTATTTTAATAAATTAAGAGCTTAAAAAGTTATAAATACATGTTTAAAAACATTTAAATAGAATATACAATAACAAAATTCATAATAATAAAATGTATCTATTTCCTCTTTTCCAACACTCAACTGTGCTCCAAAGAAAAACCACTTTCAAAAACCATATACCACAAGTTGGATTATAAAAGATCAGTTAATAGCAGGATGTCTTCCAAAGCAAGCCATTTAAAACCAACATTAAAACAGAAGAATACAGGTGATTTAAAGAGCCCTGGAATGTTTCACACAAGTTGGTTAGATACATATTCATTTTATGTATTTCTCAACAAATATTTTAGGAATTTTTATAGAGCTTCCTATAAAATGTCAAAAGATAATAATCAGTTATTTAAAGCATTAACAAAATGTTGGCTATAATAATCAATACTTAACTATCAGCTGATCTTTCATAATGCAACATGTGGTATATGGTTTTTGTAACTCCAAATGGCATGAGGTAATTTGCAAAATTTGCCACTTGCTAAGGAATAATTGTTTTTAAATTACCATTTATATTAACGTCAGCTAAAAAAGTAGATAAAAGAGATGTTTAAATTACTTTTAAGAAAGTGAAGTGGCAAACAAAATATTACATAGGCAAATAAAATTTGTGGAGAGATAGATGAAAAAAAAAACGCTTTCAATTACATTAGCTGGATCTTCCATATTGCTAAATAATATGCCTTCACGGTTATTTCTTGGCATATTGATTTTTAGAGTTTATCTGTTGATAGTTATTTGACATCTTTCTATAGGCACACATTTTAAGTCCAAGTGTAATTATGCCTTTATTTTTAATACCTGTATTATTTCTCTTTGAAGATTTTTACACACCTGTATTTTTTCTTGATTCATCAAATATAGATAAAATCTTTCAACCACAGAACTTTGTGAATGAGGATATTTGCATACCAATTCTTCTCTCAACCACCTCCCAATTCTGTCTTCTCCTTCACTCTTACATTGTTAGAGTTTATTAGCTGAAACCAAATGTAACCCTTGCAACTATACTTAAGGCCCCCATGATTTTCTTTAGGTTGCCACCTAAAAATAAAAAAATCATTCTCCAATATCTTTATCACCATGATTAGTATACTCCTTGCTTTGCCTTAGGGTGGAACCTAACAATGGAAAATCAGTCACCAATATCTTTGTCATCATGAAATGTCCAAAGAGGCTCCTTTTCACCCATGTCTGGAGGCTGGGCTGGGACAGTTGTAACAGACTGAAGAGGTTAATAACTCTCTCTTCTTGTGTCCTCTCCAAGTGGCTAGCTTAGGGTTCCTCACATATTGACCATCTTGGGGTAGTCCTACTTATAATGTAGCTATTTATAATGCAGCTGTTGGATTCACACCAAGTGAATGTTTCAAGAAACCAATGCAGAAGCTGAGGACTTACAGTTTTGCTTCAGACATCATGAAACATCACTTCTGCCACAGTCTGTTAATAACACAGGGCCAGCTCAAAGAATAGGAGGTGTAACTCATTTGGGGTTTTCCTTGGACGAATAAGCATCAGAACTTAGACATCTATTTTTTTCTAGTATCTAAAAATTTTATTTTTCTGAATTTTCTTTATTTTTTTTTAATTTCAATATGTTTTGGGGGAACAGGTGATGTTTGATTACATGACTAAGTTCTTTAGTGCTGATTTCTGTGATTTTGGTGCATCCATCACCCAAGCAGTATATACTATTTGTATCCAATGATTTTCATACAATATATGTTAATAGTCAGAGTTTCTTACTCCTTCATGGAAGATTCTTAAAGTTCAAGTATATTTTCTTTACATTTGTGTCTTTGCCGGCATATTAATGGTACTCAAATATTTAACGTACAATTAACCTGATTGCAAAAATTTGCTTTTGGTCCTCTTTATTTTAGCCTGGGTGCTTAAAATATGGATATTCTGATGTCTCAATAATAATATAACATAATTTTACTATTTATTACATTAAGAGCCACGATATCTCAAACTAACCTGGTCTCTTGCTTGCTAGCCTCTGATAGCCTTTGGAGAGGCACTGGTTTCTTTTTGTTCTTCCTTGGAGGCGGTTTCCTTTCTTGAAGTCAAATTTCTCTCTGGAAAAAACAAATAAGCAAACCAACAAATAACTCTCTTTTCTCTGTTGACATTTATAGTGAGGCCTGGCATTATCACTGCATCAGCTGCTTTCAATTAAGTTTCTCAGGCTGTTGCTGGTTAAATGAGTAAACATCTTGCTTTCTAAAATGGCCCAAATGTTTTGAACATCAACCAACATTATATCAACAATTTAATGCAACAATTATAGTTTAAACAGATTTTTTTCATTTTATACACCTAGTAGCTTAACCTTTTTCATACCCAGAACTCTCCCCACCAAATTCAAGCTAATTACCCCAATTACATTTTTAATGTTTTATTTGTTCAGCTTATTTCTATAATAAACAAGCAAGATATTTTATATAATTTCAGATGGCACTTTTCATATTAATATATTAACTAATTTAGTTACCAACTACAGAACACTTAAGTAAGGAAAATACCTGAAATAGATTTATTTTTCATTTTGAAATGTATTTACTCATTGGGATGCAACATCTCATTTACGGGAGTGGCCTGTGGTAACTCCTAGTGGGTGTTCAGGAGCAGAAAAATTCATTCCAACAAGGCTGCGCTCAAATTAGCATAAAAAGAACAATTTCAATAATTTACCAGAGAGCTTTCTTTTGTGCATGGAAGCAACAGTGGTACTTATGTATTTGTGAAGCTCAAAAACATCATTTGAAAATAATGGCCCTTAGTCTCTCCTTAAGGTCCAAGAAAAAAGTAGGCTGCCAAAGAAATAAAAAATCCTTTAGGAGAGGAAATTAGACTTACAGGCTAAACATATTTTTAAAGAGATTTTGAACAATGCTGTTTAAAGACAGGGGCATTAAGGAGATTAACTTTAAAAAATAATGAGAATTAAAAATACATAGAAATATTTAAAAGGGTTTCACTTATCTTTAAGATAAAGAGCTAATCTAAGCCTTCAAGAAAGGAGAATACTGGACATTTGTTGGCTTCCAAGATATTCCAAGAAGAGACAAGAGAGAAGACAACAGACAATAGAGAAGTATCATGAGCAGAGTATCTCCCCTTCCCTAAGGGTGGGAAAACACCACACCATCGATTACTGTGTCTATTTCTATATGCCAGAAGACTAAAGGCTCTGTCAAGGGTTTAAGCACAATATCTACAGTTACACAGTAAGCAAAGCATTATAATATTTATTAAATAACAACAATACACATCTAGATGGGGAATAGGGTTTTGGTTGGGTTTTTGTTTTTTTCCTAGCTTGGAAAACAGAGTGAGTTAGGCCAATGTGGCATATATTGCCCTAAGTCACAAACCTTGTAAGCAGCATCATGAGGACGTGAATCCACATCTTCAGGTTAATTTCAGCTTTCTTAATTCTAAGTTACATGTGATCCTGAGAAATATATGCCTTGTCATATGCTATAACAGGTAATAGAGATAAATAGGGAATCTTCTCTGTTTTCTCATTGAGTCTGGGTCCTAGATGCAAAGAGCATATCCATTTTGACTAGAAGGATGAATTCTCTTCCAAATCCACATTAGTTTTTCTCCACAGATGGTTAGTACTGGCAACAAGTTTCCTATTAATTGTCTGACTTTCCTCAACAGAAAAACTGAGATCGAGGTAAAATAAATTATCTGCTACAGAAGATTAACAGTAAAGCCTGGACCATAATTCGCCTCTCAGCTTTCTCTTCATTGCTCTACATTGTTGTCATGTTTTTGTTTCATTCAGAGAACTGCAGTTTATAGAGAAAAATTAAAATTTCATTTAAAAAAATCACTTTTCTCTTAAGTGGGGAAGGCAAATTTTTGATACTTTTATTTGTCTAAACAAAAACATATCAGGGAAATGTGTTCCAAATTCTATGGTTTACCCAAAGGAGACAAACCTAGAAGCTTTATAATTCCAGAGTTATGATTATATGAGATAGAAATCTATCTTCAAGAAATTAACTTTCCAGCAATCACTCAGCAATAATTAAACATCTATTTCAACTGAGCTGATGTAGAAAAAAATTAAGGAAACATTTAGAAGATAAAACTATATATGTTAAGAGCCATCTGTGACAAACCCACAGCAAACACATACTGAATGACTAAAATCTCAAAGCATTCCCTTTGAAAACAAAAACATGGCAAAGATGCACTCTCTCACACAACTATTCAAAATAGTACTGGAAGTCCTAGCTTGACCAATCCGGCAAGATAAAACTATCAAAGGCATTCAAATAGGAAGAGAGGATATCAAAATATTTTTTTGAAGATGATATCATTCTATGCCTAGAAAACCCCATAGTCTCTTCCTGAAGGCTCCCAGATCTGATAGCTTCAGCAAAGTTTCAGGAAACAAAATCAATGCATGAAAACCAGTAGCATTTCTATACACCAACAACATACAAGTTGAAATCAAGAATGCAGTTCCATTCACAATAACCACAAAAAAGAATAAAATATTTAGCAATAGAGATAACCAGGAAGATAAAAAATCTCTACAATGAGAATTACAAAACACTTTTAAAAGAAACCTGAGCTGACACGAACAAATGGAAAAGCATTCCATGCTCATGAATAGGAAGAATCAATATTGTCAAAATGGTCATACTACCCAAAGCAAGTTACAGATTCATTGCTGTTTCTATCAAACTACCAATGACATTCTTCACAGAATTAGATAAAAACTGTTTTAAAATTCATATGGAACCATAAAAGAGCCCAAATAGCCAGGGCAATCCTAAGCCAAATGAACAAAGCCAGAGGCATTACATTACCTGACTTCAAGCTATACTACAAGGCTCCAGTACCCAAAACAACATGATATAGGTACAAAAACAGACATGCAGACCAATGGAACACCAACCACCATCTGACAAAGTTAACAAAAACAACCAATGGGGGACTCCCTATTCAATATATGGTGCTAGGATACCTGACTAATTATATGTAGAAGATTGAAACTGGGCCCCTTCCTCACACCATGTAAAAAAATCAACTTTAATGTAAAGACTTTAATGTAAAACCCAAACCTTAAAAACCCTGGAAGATAACCTAGAAAAATATTATTCTGTACATAGGATCTGGCACAGATTTCATTATGAAGATGCCAAAAGAAGCAATTGCAACATTAAAAAAATTGGAAAATGAGACCTCATTAAAGAGCGTCTGTACAGCAAAAGAAACTATCAATGGAGTAAACAGAAAATCTACAGAATGGGAGAAAATATTTGCAAACTATGCATCTGACAAAGGGCAAATATCCAGAATCTATAAGGAACTTAAACAAATTAACAAGCAAGAGACAACCCCATTAAAAAGTAGATATGAACAGATAATTTTCAAAATAAAATTTTCGTGCAGCCAACAAATATGTGAAAAAAATGCTCAACATCACAAATCTCTAGAGAAATGCAAATCAAAACCACAGGGAGATATCATATCACACCAGTTAGAATGGCTCTTATTAAAAAGTCAAAAAATAACAGATGCTGGTGAGGTTGCAGAGAAAAGGGACTACTTATATACTACCAGTAGGGATGTAAATTGCTTCAGTCTTTGTGGGAAGCAGCTTGGCAATTTCTCAAAGAACTCAAAACAGAATTACCAGGTGACTCAGAAATCCCATTATTGAACATGGGATGGCTATATTGATTAGCTAAAACTAATGAGGAACTGTAATTGGATACTGGAGTAGGGTCATTTCTGAGAGATCATGTGGAAAAAATTGAAAATAGGTAAATTCATGTGGGAAGATGCGATTATTGTTGGAAGTAAAAGAGGGAGAAAGGATAATGGAAATATGCTTTAGGTTAATGCCAGTGGCTCTAATAAAGAAATACAAAAGTGCAAAGTGATTCAAATTTCCTACAGTGAACAGATAGAATAAACAGGTCTCAGACACTAGGTCTGTGCAGGCTCTGCTATCTTCAACATACGCTTCCCAAGATGTCTTTGAACATCTTCTTTATTACAGCGTGTCCAATGACTTTACAGTGATAAAGTCACTGTCTTTTGAAGGCCTGCATAAATTACATTGAATCCCTTCAATGTGCTGTGCTTACTTATTATTTTGAACTTTCTCAATTGAAGTACAATATAAAAACAGAAAAGTTTATAATGTGTAAGTGTATTGCTTGCTGAACCTATGACCCCCATTCAGGCCAAGAAATAGAAGATGCTCAGCATCAGGACACCCCTTCACATCTTTACCCAATCACTCCCACTGATGACTTCTAACACAATATAGATTACTTTTGTCACCTTATAAACTTTAGATCAGTGGGTATGAGAGGATTTGATGACCAGGTTTAAAGTGGTGTTTGTTGGGAGAGAGATCCAAGATGGCTGATTGCAGTTTGGGATTGTAGCTCCCAGTGAAAGCACAGAGAATGAGAGGACGCCACACTTTCAGACTAATTTTTGTCACTCACGGACCAGAAGATTCCCAGTGGAGAGGCCCCACAAGTCGCCAGCACAACTCTTGTGGCCAGCGCAGCGGTTTTGCTGGCACTTCGGCACAGCAGTTCTTCCTGCAGAGTAAACAGGAGGAAATTCCCAGGCAGAAGAGCACCATCAGTATTATCACTGCTGTTTTTGGCCAGCACAGTGGGTTGCTCGGATTCCAGCACTGGGAATCAATAAACTGGGTGTCCACTCAGAAACCCAACTAGAAAGGTGGTAATTGTAAAGACGGCAGATGGATAAATTTACAACAAAGGGAAGAAACCAGCCTAAAAAGGCTGCGAATACCCAAAATCAGAACCCCTCTCCTGCTACAGGGGATTACAGTTCCTCCTCAGCAACAGAACAAGCCCTGATGGAAAAGGACTGTGTGCCATTATCAGAAGTAGGCTTCAGAAGGTGGATGATAAGAAATTACTGGGAGTTAAAAGAACTTGTTCTAACCCAATGTAAAGAAACTAAGAACTTTGAAAAAAGGTTTGACGAAATGCTAACAAGAATAGACAATATAGGGAGGAATATAAATGAACTAACGGAGTTGAAAAACACAACACAA